GTAAAACCATTAAAATGAACTCTTGACTACTTATTTCATCCAAATGAGAGCCAGGGCTGAAAGTGAAGAAATATAATGAATAAACTAGAGGTGATTTACGGTTATTTATTGTGATGTTTCCTACTTATGGACCACCAACAGAAACCTTAATTATTTAGGTCAACCCTGGTTAATGCTCAGTGCTTATTCTACAAATCAGCATTGTTACACACACGTCAAAATATTGATGACAACTGAAAAAATCCAACACCTAATGGTCATCAATAATGCCAACTGCCAGAGATAATAAAATCTGAATACAAATTTTTTTCTTTTTGTTTGAAAAATCTTTGTGGCACTTCACACTAAAACCAACTTGAAATTACTACTCCATGATGTTTTACAGACCTTGAGACATCTACATCAATGAGGGCAATCAAGGTTGTCTTTTAGGATAGTGATCCGAAGTCTTTGTGACTGCAAGGAGGAAGGTGTGGAGAAACTGATCAATCAACCAACAAGCTGGGCATAAATCAGGCATTACCTAACAACTTCATGAAAAATTTCCTTGGGCAATAAGCACACTCTTTCCCTGGCGTCCTCACAGTATGCTAAGTAGTAAAAGTATATTGAGACACCAGTTGCTGCAATGCCTGGTTGAGGGACTTCCAGAAGATGCTGGTCAAAACAGAGATCTCAATTTTTGAGCATTGAGCTTTGAGTTTTAGAACGGAATAGAAATTACGATACGTCAGTTTTGAGGGGGGAAAGGCACGTTTTGAAGAAAAGAAAATGAGCCATACCCTTACAGTCTTTCTGTGATATTCCATTTGTTTTTTGCACTGTTATGGCAAACGTGTCCTGCATACATGCAAACATGCATCGGTATCATATAAAGATATTGTTAGTGGTTTGTTGTTGCGGGTTGTTCTCACTGAAAATATAATGAAACACAAACATGAGTCAATCAAACATCTTCAGAACAGTTCAAAGCTTTTGCTTTCTTCAGTTACTATTACTATCCACATTTAGTAACTTTGATTATCAGAGAAAAAAGAAGTGATGCCAGAACCTAATTTTACAAAGAGTGTAAAATCCACAATAATGTTCGAAGATGCCAAATGCGTTGTTTGATGATGCTCAAGCTACGACAAGCAAAATAAAATCACTCTTAGAGCGTAAT